GATCAACGGGGCTGAACACGGCCCGCTGCAGAGGTTGCCTCTCAAGGAACCTCTTCAGCGTCCCCTTCCAAGGAACCTGCACACGGCCCGCTGCAGAGGTTGCCTCTCAAGACTACAATTCAGGAAGCAACACAGCCCCCGAATTTTCAGTCTGGGCTATTCCCGGTTCACTCGCCGCTACCAAGGGAATCCTCGTTGGTTTCTCTTCCTYCGCTTAGTTATATGCTTAAATTGGGCGGATGCTCCCGCGCGACCTGAGATCAAAAGGCAAGGCCCGACGTACTTCCACAGCTCGAGGCGAACACCCCCAATCGCAAGCCCACCTCAAGCCGATGGGAGCGAATGGAAGGCGGCAACCACACAAACCAGAGGGACGACCTTACGTGCCGTTTTCAGGGAAACGAAGACCACCACCCACAAACGGGTGCTGGAGGGCAACAACAGGGCGGAGCGAAACGCAAAACTCTGGGCTGCGGCCCCCACAGGCCCGCTCGGAWTGCTCTCCAATTCCCTTCCACTTTAGGCTATCGACGCTCTACAAGTGGGAAGCGAGGGAAGCCACAACCACGGACCCCACCACTCTCCGAAWCGGAAGGTGCTGAGGTCGTGAGGAATCCAATGATGCTCAGGCGGGCGTGCCCTCGGCAGAAGCCTTGGGCGCCACGTGCGTTCAAGGTATCGATGGCTGACGGATTTCTTCAATTCACATTCAGTATCGCATTTCGCTGCGCTCTTCATCGTTGCGAGGGCCAAGATATTCGTTTGCAGAGAGTTCTACAATATGGTGCCGTTCCGACAGGACCGACCCCTCGACCAGAACTGAAGGGGGCTGGCAACCGGGACAGCGAAAAATCAGAGCAGGCACATCAATAAGAAGTTGCAAAGCCGTCGCCACCAGCCGCTGCCACGGACCCGCCCGACCCCCTGTTCGGGGGGCCGGGCAGGGCACAGGGGAGCAGCGGGGCAACGAGGGTGCAAGCGCTGTCTCCTCCCCCCGCCCCCAACCCGACACCACCCCGTTCACGACCAAAACCCTCCCCCAACGACCCTCCACCCCG